GGGGAGGAGTGCATTTCTGTGCCTGCTGGGGGGGGTGTGGCGCAAGGTCAGTGGCACCCCTTTATGGGCCACATATGCGCTGCCTGGCCAGGGGCGCGTGGAGGGGGAAAGCTCACATGCGGGGGCCACCACCACTGCTGCTGGGGGCTGAGGGAGCAAGGATGTGTTGTGAGGGGGAAGACATGGAGTGTCTGCTGTCTGACAGGCACTCCTGGTGGGGCTTTTTCCCCCCAACGCCTGCCCTTTCCTCAGCTTGAGTGGGCAGGCAGACAGGCAGAGAGGGGGGGAATAGAGTGTGCCCTGGGGTGCAGCAGCAGAGGGGCAAGGGGCACTGCTGGCCCCCTGCGGTGCCCCCCCATCTCAGCTCACTCTGTGCCCACTTCCAGGAGCAGGGCTGGGGGGGACGAGGGCAGCAGTGCCCCTCTGCGAGTTGCACATGCCCTGCCTGGCGGGGGGGGAAGAAGGGGGATGCACGCGGTGGCCACTAGCACCATTGCACCGCCACACCTTGCGCCGCATGCCTGTGGCTGGACAGCTGCACGGGACATGGTGTGGTAGCAGCTGCCTCTCCACTGGCTGGGTGGGTGTGTATAGCTTGCAGAGCGGCACTGCTGCCCTTGCCTCCCCCTCCGGCCTTGCTCTGGGCAAGTGGTGTGGGGCGTGGCGGCAGCAGTGTACTGGCCCCCTCCGTTCACACGTGGTGGCCGCCAACACCAGTACACCGCCACAGCTGCACCCTGAGCCAGTTGCCCAGAGCAGGGGTGAGGGCAGGTGCCCGTGGGCCTCACATGCCTGCCTTGCCAGGGGAAAGGGGGTTCGCATGTGGCAGCTGCCACCACAATGCCATGCCCTGCATCCTGTGTGGTTTTCCTGCCGCTGGCTGCAGGCCAGTGGTGTGGTGGTGGTGGCAGCCGTGGCATGTGAGCTCCCCCTCCCCCTTGGCTGGGTGACTCGTGTCATCTGCACAGGGGCAGTGCTGCCCTCGCCCCCCCGGCCCCTCACCGCTGCCCCTGGGAGTGGACACGGAGTGAACTGAGGTGGAGGAGTTAAAGACCCGTAAGGTAGGAACCAGTACTGCTTTCCTTGGAAAGCGGTTTTACACCACTTCCCAGCCCTTTTGCAAACAGCTCTTGCAAGCTGGAACTCAGCCAGTCTGCAGAGCTCTTTTCAAAAGAGGGAAATCTGCAGATTTTCCCTTTTTTCTCCAATTCAACCGGGAAGTCCGTGGCTTTCTCCATTTTTCCGTGGGAAACAGAAAACCCAGATCCCTGCTGATTAGCAAATCCATGAAGAAATTAGCTCGCTAACTTCTTACCTCTTCATCTTCACCCTTAGCAATGTAGGAGGTGAAGCCGCCGTATTCTGCATCCCAATCTGAGCAAGAGACAGAGAGAGAATGAATGAATGAATATCAACTGGAGGGCTAAACAATCCTGGCTCCTCCTGAGGGCTAAAGTACCTGCACCTTGAATTCCCAAAGTTTGCCGCTATTAGTTTGTTCCTAGTTTGCCTATTGCCAAATATTTTTATTCAGAGATGCAAGTTTGAACCCCACTGCCCACTAGTACCAAGAGGCATCCCCAGACCCCCTGTATGCCTAGTGGGTTACTGTCACCCCATTCCATACCTACATCTCCACAATGGAGTCTAAAGTTTTAGTTGAAAGTACAGTGGACAGCCAGAACAGGTTAGGTTGCTCCAGCAGTGGGCTCACCATTGGCTCTGGCCCCAGCTTCCTTTAGGGTTGTTAGCAGCTGTCCAAGATTACAAAATATTTGATTACTTAGGCCTTGGTTTGGGGGATGTCTAGCTGGAACCCAGGTTCACTAAGCAGAACGGACCCAACCTACCTCAAATCACTTGATGCCTTTGAAAAAAAATGGGGAGGGGGTTATGTATTATGGCTTTCAGTCAGGGATGGTGACCTGAGCTAATCAATAAGGAAGCAGCTCCTCTGTACTCCTGCCTCTGGATTCACGACCCCCATCACTGCTGCTCTGAGTGAAGAGTCCCAGAAAAGTTCCCTGAAACATTTCCCACCCTCTACCCTCCCTGCCATTACATAGTCAGCTGGAGGAACTGCAAGCGGCAGCCTCTCTCAGAGCACCACCTCATGGTCTATGGAACAAAAGCACCTGTTTTGGAAGTGAATCCTGCATTAGCACTCGGCAGCGCAGACTACTACTGGGGCCTGATTTGGCTCTGCCACTCAAAACCTGCAAATGACTGGCTGCAGAAGCATTTGGTAATGTTACATAGGACTAGGGAGCAGCAGGGAGGAGCCTTCCCTTTAGAGAAGAGGTGGAGTGATTTGGCAGTTTTAAAAGCAACAGACAAGGCCAGATAATTGTAAACCCCTTTTCTTCCCTCTTGGCTGAGGCTAGTGAGAAACTCTGGATCTCTCCTACCTACCTTCACAGCCACAGAAAAACATCAGGTCCAGGGCAAACTCTGTTGCTTGGGTGTCATGGACTAGAGTGTAGCAACCATTCATCCACTGTCTCAGCTCCCCCACACACATAGGGACACTTGAGCCTAGAGACGGGAAGCAAGTATGTGAACAGCCAGGCTGGAGCAAGAGGCTACACAATGGGACATTGATGGGAATGTTGTCATTGCCCCTGTTAGGACAAGAATATCACATTTGGTCTTCAACTTGGAACCTGCTGCTTTTACTTACTATTCTGTGGTTCACCCTCAGCAGTTTTGAGGAAGTTTTCCAGCTGGCCTCTTTGATCAGCGTTGCCACTGGTCTCTTGACTGGTCTCTCCTTCCTTAGCCCTGGAGGAGTCATGACCAGCACAGTCTGCAGCCCTCCCCTCTTCTCCCTCCTCCTCATTGGAGGAAGCCAGGAAGTGCAGCTTTAGACCCGTGAAATTAGAGAGCAGCAGGAACAAGGCCTCAGAGCGGAAGAACTCCAAGCAATTCTTCAGGATGTCCGGAAGGCTCCCTTCCTCAGCCACCTCATAGCATCTGAAAAATAGTGGGGTTGCAAGAGGCAGGTAAGGATTCACTGTTCACACTTCTGGGGAGAGATGTGCTACTGCAACCTCAAGGTAGAATGCAGGTGGCCTAGTTAACTAACAGCTTGGCACAGCCCTACCTTTTATTGGGGGGTCCCCGTCTCGTCCATTTGATGTCTTCTTTCTCTAGAGCCTCACACACCAACTGAAATTTCTCTCTCTACGAGAGAGGCACATGGAAGAACTCAAACACCTTTGCTTCCCACAATTTCCTAGCATGCTAACAGCAACTACTCAGTGCTCCCGCTCTAGACACCACAGTGTTGGTTCTTTGAACCATTACTCCCCGCATCCAGGGGCAGGAGAAATGATTATGGTTGTTCAGTGCCCTTCACACTTTGTATTGAAAAGTTCTAAGTAGGTGTGACAGGCAAATTCTCCACCCACTTGTATAGGTGAGAGGTTACCTGCATTATACAGGTCCTACAGCCCCTATGGTAAAGCAAGTGACACAGCGCAGTCACTCTTGGTTACATGTCTCATGCGTGGCATGGAAAGGTTCTTGCTGCCAGCATGAAGAGGAGGAGGTTGGAACAGTGCTCGTGGTTCTCACTATGCATCCCTGTGCACAATGTGAACCACAGGCTACATAACAGTGCCAGGCACCTGCGTGGGTAAGTGTTCAGCCTACATTTCCTCTATTCCTGCCTAAACAAAGCAGCTGGTGCTCTAGTCCTCAGCCATACAAATGGGCACCATACCAATCACCATGCAATCCCTGCCAGCTGTGACTTGCAGGACATGCCCACATAGAAAACATCATTCTTTGTATTCAGCCTGTTTCCTGGACCCACTTTAAAGAAATCCTTCAGGAAAGTCTCTGATCGATCCTCAAATTCCTCCTGGATCTGAGCTTGGGAAACCATGTCCAAATAAACAGGATTGATCCAGTTGTACAAGATTTCATGCTGAAACAGAACCAGAGCTTTAGTGTGAATGCTGGATATGAAGTTACAGAAATGATGGACTCTTTCCCGTTCCCTCCTCACTTAACAACTAAAAGGCTTCAGCTCACCCCCATCTGTCCATGACATTTGCAATAGACCATTCACCAGAATCACTAAAAATGAAAGCTCCTGAATTCTCCAACTAACTACTACTACTACTAAGACCGTGCTCCTTCTCAGCACTTTTGAACCATGATCTCAAAGCCAATGGATGTACAGGGAAAAGGAGAAAGATGTTAAGCAGCTGTACACACCATGCTGAGGAAAACAGGGGAGTCCCAAGATACAGGGGAACTACCCCGTTGATTGTATCCCTTCTGTAGTATCCTGCAAACATGAATGAATAAATACTTTCTGCTTACATCATAGGGGATGTGTGGGCTTCGTGGCAAGGGGGCTTCAGTGTAGCGGGGAGGCCTTGCCACTGATGGACCGTGAAACCAGCCACTCACAGACAAGCGGCACTTCTCTTTGGACAGGACTTCTGATACCTGAAAAGAAAAAGTAAAGAACATGTTACCATTAATGTTATGGTGCACCTGGGGGGATAGAGAGGATGGGGCAGCCGAAGGAAGCATACTGTTGCACTGGACGCTGTACAGACCCAGAGTAAGAGGTGAATCCTGCCCCAAAGAGCAGACAGAAAAGGCAGACAGACAAAACATAATACTTCTCACTTTGCTGATGGCAACTGATGTACAGAAGTTGCACGATTTGCTCATGCCTGCATCTGAGCCATGTGCCACACCCAGCTCTCTTGAATCCCAGTTCAGTTCCTAAGCACCCACCCAGCCAGGGCAAGGCTGCTGCCCACAAGGAAGAGAGGACACACCCTTTGCCACTTACTGGAATATCTCCCAGAATCTGCAAAATACGTTTACCAGGGTTATTCATGCAACACAATAGGTGTAGGTGCTATGGGAAGAAGTTGCAGACCACAGGCCATAGCCACATAGCAGCAAACCACAGCTGTTTTGGTTTCTAACTTTTAAGTGCTATTGAACCACTGCTTGTCAAGACACAGCTGTTTTAGGCACTCAACCAAGGGGCAAAACTTTATCATTATGCTTAGTCTCAAGCACTCTTCTTCAAATTAAATTTCTCATTCGGCAGTGGGGGTTGTGGATTTCTGCATTATGACTGAGTAGTGTTAGGTTTGACATACAACAGTCAGACTGATGTGGACAGGAGCAAAACTGGTTAAAGGATTAAGTCCATGTTCCAGTATATTAACAAGGAAGGCTGGCTTGTGATAAGGGTTGACATCTGGTAGTGTGTTATTCACTCCTGTGACACCTAAAAATGCTTTGAATTATTATTAAAACTCTTAACTAGAGAGCAGAAAAATGTCCCCCATATCTAAGTATGCTACAAGCAGCCTAGCAGTCTTCTTGCTAGGCACCCAGGGCTGGGACCATGTTGTACTAGGAGGTCTTGGATAAAAGCTCTCTTCCAAACCAGGAAAGCTGGACTGAGATCCAGAGACACATTAGGAAGGAAGGACAGGATGCTCCTTGCTGGATGTTTGAAAAGAAGGATTTTTGCTGGCTTGTCTGTACGTGGCCAGCCAGCCTGCTGTCATTTATTGACAACAAAATGACAATTAGATTTAGGGATCACAGATGCTCAAGGGAATTCAATATCTGGAAGCCTGTGATTAAGATCACTTTCAGTGAAGTCAGTTGAGTCTTAAATGCCTGTGCTAACAGCAGAGCCTGGATATGGGACAGGATGATACTAATACCCAGGATTAAGTTTAAGTTAGCTGGAGGTGATTGCAGGGCTAAGGGCACAGACAGACGAATGATTATACTACTTTACAGATGGGGGTTGGGGGGAGGATGTATTGATTGTGAATGCATGTCAACTAATCCACTGCACCTCCTTCATCTGTCTGTTTATATCCCACAGTATGTTAAACACTTCCATTTGCTAAGGGATATAACGGACATACAAAACAACCAGAGTGGATTCAGTTGAATGCATTGTAAGAATCTCCCATTTAAAAGCAGTCAATTATTTACTCTGTCTATGCCTGCAGTTATGAATGCACAGGGCTTTATATGTCTTCAGTAAGTTGCCAGCTGACAACAGCTCAGGGAATGGCCAGCAGGGATTTCTGTTATTTATGTCACCCTTACTTTACCATGTTAGATTTTGCTAAAACCCCAACCCATTCAGCTGAGCATCTGGCTAGCCTTTGAGATCATTCCCATTGGTGCTCCCCCTACCCTTCTTCCATTTGTTGCTACATTTATATTATTAGCACGCTCAAATAAATCAGAATCTATGATAAACAAAGCCAGGGCCAGCATGTCACTTGGGGAATCTATACAGAATGAATGAAGCTGGAGTCAACATGCTACTCAGAAAGTTCTTACAGTCTGCCTGTCTTCATGTTGTTCTGTAGCCTGATCCCCATTAGGAACCCCCAAGTATCTGTGGAAATAAATTTAACCAGGCTCCTAACTTGACTAAGAAAAGAGACAGAGACCAGAGGTGCTGATACTGCTCATTTCAGAAAAATGTTCTGAGATAAGAAAATCCTGCATGCCTTGTTTTCGTCTTGATATATTACCCTCTGTGCGGATGTTAGTTTTCTTTTCTCTCTGAGAACCAGAAACTGATAACCATTCCTATAAGCACATTTCCCTTTTCTTTAAGTAAACTGCCTGTGTGTGTCAGACCAGTGATTTACTCCTATTTGCTTCTCCAAGGTTGTATTTTGTTTCTCTCCGTCTTAAGTATAAACATGCCTGTAAACTTACAGAGTTCAAGAATTCCTTTGAAACAGACAAGTGGGCGATTCCCCTTGCTGTATGGAATTCTCCCTGTGATCACAGTATAGCCCTAAATAAAGAAAAGCTGGCTCTGTCAGTTCTGATTCAACCACAACGCGAAGTTTGATTTCTTCCACATATTTAACAAGGTTAGATTAGACAGGACACTGACTTACCACCCTGTTACAAGTCAGATCATAAGTTCATGTGGCTAAACAATGGATCCCAGTTGTGATGGTTACCTTACAACCCTGAGGTACTACTAGAATGAGCATTTATAATGATCATGCTTGAAGGGTAGCTCCTCACCTGGTGAAAAGAGACTGGAGACACTTCAAAGAAGACCAGGGAGTTCCATGAGGGGACTAATGACTTGACAACCTGCAGGGGTTGAACGTGCTCTGAAATGGAAGAAACCGCGTGTGCATGTTATGGTTCTACTAGAAACTCCCACAAAAGCCCAAGCTGCCTAGATCCAGAACCTTTGGGATTGGTTGCTCCTGGTGGCTACACAGGATGAGGCTCCAGAGAAAGACCACAGTGCAACTCCCTCCCACCAGTGCAAGCACTTCCCCTTGCACGATTTCACTCCCAACCACAGATAACACCAGGCAGAAATGCAGCTCTTGGCATCACACTTATGCTGCCACCCTTCATAGCAGTTGCTCATACACAAAGGATCCCCATCCTCATTTGTACAGTCAACCGCAGTGCTCTTCCTTAAACTCTCAGCTGTCACCCAAGAGTACAACCTCAAGTGACCGCTGCAGCCCTTCTTCTGAGCAGCCCACACCTCATCCTGTCCTCATCAACAAAGCTGTGCATCCTCACCCTGTCCTGTCACTTCACAGGCATTTGCGCATTGCTGTATAAGGACAGACAAGCTATCAAGCTTCTCAAGCACTTCCCTAAAACAAACACCTTCCATCACCTGGCATCAAGGTCCTACCATCTGCACTGTACAGGTCCAGAGTGCCTCCATCACTCTTCTCCCATGGTGGAACAAGGTACAGAATGAAGGCGATTCTCCGCCCCTCCAGCTCATCATCATGGCACAGCAGGACATCTGCAATCACAAATGTTTGCATCTCTGGCATGCTCTGGATTTGTTTCAGTGGCTGTTTCCCTAACTAAGCCCGGTTGCTGGGAGGGATACAGGAAGGAAATCCAACCCCTTCTCCAGACCTGCATCTTCACCTGGTCCCAAATCAAGCCAATTCCCAGACCCTGGAGGAAGAATTTCCTTTGGATTCTATTGCAGTGTCACTGCATGGACCAGTCCTCCCAAGTATGTCTAATATTTTTCCACATCCTTCCTCTTGTAGTTACTCAGAGAAGAAATCTCTCAGCTCCACATGCTCAAATCTTCAGTTGTATAAAATGCCCTCTGAGCACATTCACGGATGCTGAGGGCTACTACAATGACAGCACTGGTGACTGCAGGCCTCTATCTGCAGAGCCAGGACAGCATGGGCAAGAGCTTTTTTACTCAAGATGTTCTTGTTAAGTTACCAAATGTGACTTAACCCTACCCTTCAGGAACCACCACCAAGTGGAGTTTAGTGGTCACAACCCACTCAGCCTGGGTCGGCAAAGCCAGCCAGCCCATAAGATGAGATATGATTGTCAGACACTGGAATCTTAACTGTTGCTTCCAGACCTTGAATTCCCTGCTGTACTGCATAAACAGACACAATCCAGGGAGCCCCTAGTCTGTCTGTATTTCTCCGAAGACCTGGAAGACCCCCAAGTATACTGGGCCCCAGTTTAAACTACTATGAGCAGAAATATCCAGCCCAACAGATCTTCTCCATTTTCTTCTTGCTTGAGTCTTTGCTTTGCTGAGCAACAGCTCTGTGGTGTGCTAGGAAGCCTTTGTTACTGGGGTTCTCTGTTGCAATATAATGCTCTTTACCCCAAAGAAACTGAGAAGACCTGCTGCTAGCTCACCTGTATATTCATACTTGGCACAGGACAGGTCAATAGTTGGCTCCAGCTCAATCTGAGTGACAGCAGAAAGCCACGGACGGAACTCGTCAAGCAGAACTTTCCTAAGGGGACAAGCATGGGGTTGCTGGGACAGGCGCCACCCTCAGCTACAGCCCGGAGTACACTGCCAAGGGTACAGAGCCCAGCCTTAGACCTACTGTGTTATAGCTGTGAGGTGATGACAGAGAGAGTGAGCGTTCTGCATGCATGAGCAACCCTACACTGGGGATTCCCAGCCCCAGGGCCGCAGCCTAGAGCCAGGCTGCAAAGGGTTGGCTGCTAGTGTGCAGGAGGGCTGGCTGGTGGACTGGAAGTAACTGCAGACCAGCAAACCACAGAGTGGAAGTGACCGGCATGCTGTAGACTGGCAGCCAACCCTTTTTTATACTGACTATAAAAAAGGGTTGGTTACCTGCCCACGGTCACTGCTGGTCCACAGTTTGCCAGTCCATGATCACTTCCGGTCTGCAGCTTGCTGGTCCTCAGCCTAAAAATGTTGGGAACCTCTGCCCTGCACTACCCACATGAGAAGAGAGAGTGGCTTCGCTCATGAGAGCACTTCAGCAACAAAGCAGTGAGGGGGGAGATTCCAAATGTCCAGCATAAAACATCAACAGCTGTTCCAGAGTGAGGAAAAAGGAGTTTTCCACAAAACGGAGCAGAAACGAGTCCAAATTCTGGAGAGGACTGTTTTATTGCTTACTTAAGCACTGTGCCTTTTTCTCCCTTTCTGAAATGTTTCTTGGGACAGTATCCAAAGGAGGGGTTCTTGTTTAATGACAACAGCTTCAGGCAAACAGAAAACCAAGGCACCAGACCAACATCCTCGATAGGTTTGTGAACGCAGAGGGAGGGGAACGAGAAGTGGTTCATTCTGAAACAATGGAGAAAGCCCTTTCGACCGCCTCAGCTGGGCCAAAACTCGCAGCCACGTTACCTGAGTGCGGAGACGTGCGGTTCCTTCCGCTCCTTCAGGTCGTCTGACTGGGAGTGGGGGGAGAAACAGGAGGCGGCGTTGGGCGCGGCTCCGAGGCAGCAGAACGTCCCCGCCCCAGGACGCGGGACCCCCGCCCGCCGACCAAGCGGCAAGCCGCTGCCCCAGACCCGGCGGGGGGGATGCGGCACCTGCTGGAAGCGGTAGAGGTCGTTGCCGCGGCGGCGCAGCGCCACGTCCAGCAACTCCGCGCGCAGCTGCTCCGCGAAGCCCCCGCCGGGCAGGAAGTCCGTGATGACAGCATGCGGGAAGGGCACGGGGGCCACGGCCACGGCCTCTGCGGGCAGAGCGCGGCGTCAGCCCCAGCCTGGCCCGGCCCCAGCCCCAGCCCCACT